TGGCTTTGCTTTCCTTGGCTTTGCTTTCCTTGGCTTGGCTTGGCTTGGCGTGTCTTGGCTTGGGGCTTGGGGCTTGGGGCTTGGGGCTTGGGGCTTGGGGCTTGGGGCTTGGCTTGGCTTGCTTGGCTGCTTGGCTGCGTGCCTGCGTGCCTGCGTGCCTGCTTGCTTGCTTGCTTGCTTTCTTGCTTGCTTGCTTTCTTGCTTTTTGTCGCCTGTGTTTTTTGGGTCGATTTGTGTGATCACGTGGAGAACGAATTTTGCCTAAAACAGAAGGAGAGGGGTACGCCCGCATGAGAGGAGAGCCAACGACAGTGCTTGTGATATTATCAGAGAACTCGCTCTGGCAGCCTGGACCTATCTGCTTGTAAAATGGTCTGCAAAAAGTTACTGTTACATCTTTAACTCAACCCTGGTGAAAACCCTGTAGACCATGTGCAGTACTTCTTCCATTCCATTCGCTCATTCCTGTTTCCCCGTGTTTCTGACGCGTGCGTGTTTGTGTGTGCCCTGCTAGAAACATGCAGCATGCAGGTTCTTTTCGTTAGACCAATGCCTTTCCGAAGATACTGCAGCATTGTAAAGCCACAGCTCCACAAACAATCGCCACGCCACCACGCATCAGATTGTCACATGGCATTGCGGAGCAAGACCCGAAACTTGCGACCTCTACTGGGTCGGAGATTACTTCGCGGCAATACACGCGCAACTTGCGTGCAGAGGTCAGCAGAAGACACCATTCTCACCTTATCTCACCTTTTTGTACCGTGATTCTCAGTTTCTGGATGCCGCGCCAGAAGAAGATGTGCGGGCGAGACACGTGCTGTGCAATGTCGTGTCTCCGCTTTCCAAGCAAAGAAGGAGGTTTGTTGATGCGGGTTGATCCTTGGTATCGATGGCAGGTTGGAGGAGGTCTGCCGCGTTCCTAACGGCTACCCTATGCAGCGTGCAAGCTCGAGTGGTTCAGTATGGTCCATGGGCAGTGAAGCCACCGAGGCCAAAGAATTCAGCTGAAGATGAATTGTAACTTCTTCAAAAACTAACTCAAAACATTTCAAAAGAACGCAAGAAGATGGGCAGAGCAAAGGAAACTACAGAGAGTTTGGTAGCATATGGGAGCTGCTGTTGGAGCGGCAGGACCACAGAGGATTACGACATGTGCACTCCAATGGCTCCATCAGTAGCATGACTTCCTTCGAGGCCTTGAGTTGAAGACAATACAACATCATATAGTTCATAGTATTTGATATCAGGGAGATGTTTGAACTTTGAACAATGGGTGTATGTGTGAATGACATTTATGTTCGTTGGGGCAAGAAAGCAGCAGTCACAGTCCTTGAAAGTAGGCCAACCGATCCCGGGCCTGCTCGTTCGGCTCCATCTATAGTGGAATGGAGGACCCTGCCATCCTGCTACAGCTTGGGTTCCTAGGTTCAACTGTTAGTGAACATGCCCCGCTAGCGCACACCAATTGGGGTGAGGTCGAGGGCTCTATATGTAGTGTTTTACATTCTCCATGCCATCTCGGTGAGATTAACCCCACAGCTTGTGCAGGACGAACCCATAGAACCTGTGGAGTTTGACCTTGTTGAGTACCCAGATGATGCTCCGAAACCGGAGCGAGAGCGGGAGCATCGGCGAGAAGAACGGTATGAGCGACGTGAAGACCGCAGGAGGCACTCAAGGCCAAAACCCAGAGAACCAGGACCGAAACAAACCGAGCAGTCTACATTTCTACATAGAGAGTCATTATGTAAGTATGAAGTAATGGGCGAGAGTGATGATTGAACATGTCAAGGGAGCCATGCAGGCTTTGGCTGTGCTTGTTGAATTGCACAAATTGTGCTTGCTTGCATTAGACTTGCTCCCAGTCCTTTAATTCTCAGCTTGCCCGTGACTTGCCTTGTTTCTATTGGGCTATTTGATGGGTAAAGTGATAGTGCTTACTTCCGGGCATCTCAGTCCATGACCCTAGGACCACAAGAGGCTGCTTGCCCACAGCCAAAGCCTGTTGGACTTGTAGATGAAAGCCCCACCACCAGTTGCAGTCCACGGCCAGGCAGGTCAAATGAGTGATATGACAGTCTTGATTTTTCTTTAAACTCAGACTTACTGTAAACATCTCCAAGCTGCAAAGTGAGACCAAACATGTGTATTTTGATCAATCACAACGTTGCTGCAGGCAGTGCAGCTTCACGATGTTCAAGCCCATCTGAGCGAGAAAAGTCCAAGGCCAGGAGGGACAGGAGTGTAGGAGTGTAATGCTTGTTCAGTCAAGTTGGAGTGGTCTGAACTCTTTCAGAGCCAGGCATGGCAGAAGGAGTATCGTCATTCCCTGGTACCAAAGACAGTGCCTTGAAAAGCACTTGGCTGAAATTATGAGGAGACTATCCAACATGTGGGGGACTATCCAGCCAACGGAAGAAGCACTAAGAGTTGAGATGACTTTGCAGGAACTGTGTGTCCTTTGATGACTTTTTCACTTCCCTTTACACTAGGCTCGGAGTGCAGTGCAGTGCAGGTCAACTTGCAAGATGAATATCAGCAAAACCAGGGCCAACAGGATGTCACGACACTAATGCCAAGTCCTTAGCCTCAATTATTTGTGTTTGATGTCTGTCTTTCAATACCCTTGCTGACTGCCAGGATTCGGAACATTCCAAATAGATATTCCCAGCGTGACCTCATTGCAGAGCTGGAAGATTTGGGCTTTGCAGGTGCAGAGCTGATTGCAAAGTCCATTTAACACATTTCCTTCAACAAAGTGTTCTTCTGAAACTCTTCTTCCGTAACTATTTTGCATTCTTCATAGATTATTTTGCATTCTTCATTTTTTTCCCCAAACAGCTTACTGTTGGGGTTCTCTCTTAGGAAAAAAGAAGCTGGCCACAGTGTCTGGCCGCACTGGTGAACACTGTGTCCGGGCGTTGTCTTGCTGTCGTCCTTTTCTTATCCGCTTGTTGTCCTCTTCTTGTCCTTCTGATGTGCAGCTTGGCTGCGGCTGCTAGCCGGTGGCCAGACCGAGTCCTTTTGTTGTCTTTGTTTGTCCTCCTGTTGTCCTAGTCCTCGTCTTCTCTTTCTTTTGACCTCTTTTTGTCCTCTTCTTGTCCTCATCCTCCCCTATGTCCGCCTGTTGCCTTCTTGTTGTCCTCTTCTTGTACTTCTTCCAGCTTGGTGCGGCTGCTAGCCCGTCTCCAGTCCCTGCCCTTTCGTTTTGTGGTCTCCTTGTCCTCTTCTTGTCCTCCTCTTTTTCTCTTCTTGTCCTCCTCTTGTCCTGCTTTTTGTCCTGTTATTGTCCTCTCCTTGTTCTCCTGTTCTCTCGTAGGCCGTAGGCAAAAAGAAGCTGGCCATAGTGTCAGGCCGCGCCGGCGAGCTCTGTCCGGATGTCCTCCTTTTCTCCTCTAGTCACAATCTTGTCGGCCCTGTCCCCCTCATGTTCTTCTATTGCCTTCTTGTTGTCCTTTTTGAGGTGTTCATTGGCCAGCCTATCTCCGGTCATACCGGTCATACTCCTCCCGTCGTCGTCTTGTCTTTCTCTTGCCCCTCTTCTCTTCCTCTTCTCCTCTTGTTCTCCTCTTGGTGTGCTCCCCTCATGTTGCTGTTGTCCGGTCACAGCTTGTCCTTCTTCGGTCCTCTTGGTGTTGTTTTTCTTCCCTCCTCATCCTTTTGTCCTGTGTTGTCCTCCTTATGCCCTCATCTGGTCTTTCTGTTGTCGTGCTACTGTCGTGCTGTTTACGTTGCTTTCGGGCTGGGGCTGTGGCCGCCCACCGCAACAACAATTCTTGCCGACTAAGCTGTTTGGGGTCTATGCTGGTATATTTTTCATTCTATCAGTCCTTCAGAAACTATTTTGCGATCTTCGGAAATTCGGAAACTATTTTGGGGTGGGGGTAAGGGGGGGTTGAGTGGGCGACGTACCTTGTGACAGGCTACGATATTTGTCTTTCTTCATAAATTCACAATCTAGTTACTGCAGAACAGTTTCCAAAGAAAACCCTCTAGTTACCGAAGAACACAGTATAGTTACCCCGAATACAAGAATAGCGTCTAGTTACCGAAGATCACCTTTGAGCTACCGAATCGAACCTTGACCACATTTCCTTCCGTAAAAGGAGCAAGGGCGCTACTAGGGGCTCCTGGCATTGCTACTAGTAACAAGAAGCTACTTGGGGCTCCTGGCCTTACTACTACTAATGCTGGTGACCGGTCTACTGCGAAGGCAAGTTCAACTTCTTATACATCCCCTTGGACAAAGGGACCATGGCCAACGTTGGCTACGCCTTTGTGAACTTTATTGACAAGGACTGCCAGCTACACTATTGAGACAACTACGTACAGTATGTCTATTGTGAATAAATGGAGCACCCATTAACGTTGATAGTGCAGGACTGGGCAAAAAAATGCATGGAGGCATTCTACGACTACCGCTTCAAGCGCCACAGGAAGACTTCAGGTGGCTTCGCTGCACCCACGAGATGCCAAGTCACGTTGAGCAGAAATGAATATCATGCTACCTTCCACGGTTCGATTGATTAATCACTTTGCAGTTTATCTATATCAGAATGAGCAAGTTCACCCAAACAACTCGGAGTTTGTTTCTCGTCTTTGCAGTGCTTCGTCTCATTGTGTCATTGTGTCTATTCAGGCAAGATTGCCTCGGTGTCAGCAGCTCATTTGCAAGGCCTTGAGGCGAACCTGGCACACTACGAGCGCGCAGTGGCTGCTAAGCTCCAACGAAAAGAACATACTGTATTTTCTTTACTTTTGTGTTCGGCGTTCTAAGCTCGAGGGGCGTTTGTGAAGTCCAAGATCTAAGAGTCCTCCAGAATCGTGCAGTTTGTTTCGTTCTTTGTTGTACCTTTTCTTTTAAGCTGGCGGGGAGGGGTACCGTAAGAGTAGGCTGACAAGTAGTAACTTAGTACTGTAGCTAAGTAAGTATAAGAGGAGTAAGCTACTAGGCGAACAAGCAGAAACTACTGCCGATTGGATGCAGGCTAGGGTTCAGGCTTCTTCAAGAAAGCTCCCCGGCTGAGGGCGGGGGAGTTTCCTTGAAGAAGCCTAAGCCTGAATGATTTGGTTCCTAGATTTTTAGGGAAACTTAAGGGTTTAAGTTATATAGTTTATTCTTGTGAACTGAACATGACTTCACTGCTCCAGCAAGACTTGTCTACGAGGTAAACACTGCAAAGCTGAAGCAGCGCCGACCTGTGGTTATTGCCAACATCTCCTCCAGTCTGGAATGAAGAAGATTTGACTCTGTGGTGATTGACGGATTGTACGACCGCGAGGCCGCAGACTGATTTGATCTGTGCCTGCAAGGAATCATACAGCAGACGCAGAAACGCTCAATGTTCTGTTTGATTGCGCCACGCATTTGAATCTCTCCCTCCCTTCCCTCCCTTCCTGATCTATGCCTCGATCTATGTGGTCACTGGTGTAACACACAAAATAGTTCAACCCTCGAAGAACCTCTCCAAAGGATATTGTACATTGTACTCTACATTGTCCTAGCCTTCGCACAGTTGGTACACCCAAGATAGCTCAAGTATGGAGCATGGTCAATGGTCGACTTATCAAGAGTGCACACAGTTCCATTACTCCATTATTGATCTGTCTTTATAATCACAGCCAGATGCTAATTCAGCCGTGTTGGACCGCCCGCGTTTCAATCCATGCCTTTGTCGGCTTGGTTCTGCAACATGCTGGCTCCTTGCAATGTGTCGACTTCGCATCTTGTGGGTTTAATTACTTTGCTTGCCTCTTCCTCAGCTGACTGTCTGGACCTGACTGAGCTTTCCTGTTTTGCAGACCTTCTATGTGACCGGCTCTGACTAACAGATAGCAACTCTGACCATCCATGTGCTTCTGGTTGGAGACTTTGTCGTAAAGCGTACGAAGGAAACTCTGTGCAGCAGAGCTGTGCAGCTTTTCCCAGAAATTCCTAGAAATACTTGACATAGAAAACAAAAAAGATATGAACATTGACCTAAGACTTAAAGGGGCCTTGCCTTCCTTTTTTTTCATATTTTTCCTTTTTTGTGTTCTATTTTTCAATGCTTTGACGCCTTATCCACCGCAATCCAGCATCCCGACAAACAAAAGGTTAACGCAATGTGGACAACCTGCCCAAAAGCCATCCCGGCATCCCGCTTTTCTAGCAGTTAACACTCCACTTTAAATGCTGGCGTGCTTCAGCCAGGTATCGCACTAGGCAAATACGACCACCTCGCAGTTGGTCCTGATGGCAATGTTTCTTTTTCAACGCCTTCTATCACTTGAGGGCAGCGAGTCCATCAATCAACAAGGGTAAGGGGAGAAGCTTCCCAGAACACAAGCTTAAGTTTCCCTAAACATCTAGGAAACAAATCATTAGTGCGAGCGCTTCTTCAAGGAAGCTCCCCCCCGCCCTCAGGCGGAGTGAGCTTCCTTGAAGAAGCGTGAGCAATCCTGCATCCTAAGTAGTAGCTTATATAAGTAGCTACTAGCTACCTCTTCTCGGCCTATCCCGGCTCCCCGCCCCCCCCCCTGTGTTGCGTTTTTATATGAACTAACCTCTGTATGGTCTCACACCTGATGTATATACATGACTGATACATTTGGCTCAAGACTGAGAAAAGCCGCTTGCTTTCACAGCGCGACTGCATTCGACTCGTGTCCGAGCATCGTCCGATTGGACCTCTCTCGAGACCGTGTTCTTTCCAAGGGAAATCCACTGCATTGCACTTTGTTTCAATATTATTGGTAGCGGAGGTCCTAGTGCCATGGCAGCCATGCCCGCACTTGCAACACGTCAGTCCCACGAGGAGTCGATGTCCTTGCATATGAACGCTAAGCTGCCGCCTGTCTGTGACGGACGGGTAAGTTGGTTTAGGTACGAGGAGGCAGTCGATGACTGGTTGTCGATAACTAGCATTGATAAACCCGAGCGTCATGGACCACTACTCAAGTCCAATTAACTGCCGATGCCACGATGTACAGAGAGCTTCTAGATAATCATCGTCTTAAAGATCCTGAGAATGGAGTTAATTATTTCCTGCAGACTTTAAGACCGTATTTCGTCAAATGATCTCAGAACGTTTTCCTCTATCGTGTTTTGAATTTATTCATTCACCTTGAGGTGGCCAAGAATTCGTGACATTCATTAGCAAGTTTGAGACTCTCTTACGCCGGCTTCGTGCCTCATGGATGGACACCATGCCCTTAAGGTATGACTATCTTGGACGGAGCAACTACACTGTTGACTTCGTCGCCAGTGTCTTTAAGGAGTGAACCTGAGTCCATCAAGATCTTTCTTGAATATGTAGATCAGTATCAACTGCAGCCAAGATAAGTTGTCGCCGATCAAGCATTTATGACTCGGAATGGGAAAGAATCTTCCGGATTCTGAACATCCGTCCTGTCAGTCTTGGTCCGATGACACCTTGGCCGAATCGAGCTGAGACTGCCAATCGCTTGTGTGTCATCAATGCTGAGTGGACAAGAGCCACCAATCCAATCTCGGACCTCCACTGCTCAACGTGTTATGACCATCACCTCGCTTGCGTCGGCAGCTGTTGAACCATTTGAACTGCCAAAGATGACCTTTGATCCTCCAGATACACAATATGGTCCGTCTATTTCGAGCGCCAAGCATGGACCGTACCATATGCATATGCACACGGGTGATCGAACTTGCAGCATTTGCTTCCGAAACATTACGAGCTTCATGTGTCGTTTTTGTGGCCGCTACCAATGCACGCCGCGCCAAACTTCTAAGGTCCAAATGAGGTGTGATTGCAGTACTCGCTATATAACCACCTTCGATGAAGCACATAACCCGAGCTATGAACATCAGCTGATGACTATCGTTGATCCAAATTCTGGAGAACATGCGTTTGAAGAACGAGCAACGCGAGAAGTCACAAGACCGACCGATATGGCGGGTTTCCTTTGTGGAGACCGTGATGTTCTTACCGAATACACAAGTGCTATCCACTCCGTAGGTCCATTCTCCGTCGCGTGCTTAGCAACCCAGGAAGGAACCACTGACCAATATGAACCTCACTTCTATGCTGTCGCAAGTGATCGTTTTCCTTACGCGCCGGAACTCTACCTCGATGATTACAAGAGCTATAACCATGCGGTAGTTTTTGGACTTCCGTGGTACCTACCAGCTACGCTGGTTCATGCGCCTCATCGAGAAGCAATGCCGGTATCCTGATTCGATCAATACTGCCATCAGAGCGGTGAGCTTACGGCCGATTGCGATGCTATGACCATCATTTCCTATTTGCAAGAACTTCCTATCAACCTCCTATTGACCACTGGTGTGCCAAGGCAAATTACCACGTCCCTATCCAAGCAGAATCGTTGTCGCTGGAATCGGCCGCGCAAGTTGCCTAAGAATCATACGAACCAGAAATACAAGGCACTGAGAGAACAATCTCCTGTTTTTCACAAAATGATCTATCAAAATGATGCACATGTCGTGATGATCAATGAGGCTGACGCCCTGACCGAGGAAACGATTACCGACATTGTCCATCATGGGTCCATAGGCGTGAGAGTTAAGAACATTGGTGCTCCTGCTGTGTAGCGCGCCTTGGCCAAGGTCCGCCGAATGTCGTTTCGATTGACCTATTATGCTACACTGATGCACGCAAGATGAACAATATGGAGACCTGGATCACCACAGACTCCGTCTTTCGCATCAATTTCGGAAATAAGTCCAGTTCATCGCCAGACACCTTTGAGGAGAGCGCCGAAAAGTATGATCAAGTCTGGTACCAAAACAAGCCGGAGTCCGGAGTCCACGGGATTTTCGATGTCTTGCCTCATGAACAACAAGAACATTTTGACAAGGGGACTCATTTTTCGACCGTGGCTGAGCACAGGAAGGCTCTGCGCAAGCTCATATACATATCCTGAACGATGTACAAGAAAGAAGCTGTTTCCCGAGCACGAAGTTGAAGTCTTCGGAGATATGAACGAATTTGTAGATCTCACAATTCAGCCGAATTTCACAGATGCAGTGAGATGGGATTCCGAGACAGACCTTCGAGACAAAACGCCACAATGGCTTACAAGAACAACCCCTCAACGCAAGTTCATAGAGCAGGTTTTCCAGAACTGATGGTCGGCATTCTTCATGCCAATGCTCAGTTGTGCCGAAAGAAAGGTATGCCAAAGATCGCAGCTCGCGTGTCGCGATTCATTAGGAACAGCCTCGCAATGCGCGTTGACTATTTGACCAGCGATGGAAATCTTGCAGTGAACCGATGTTTGATGATCAAACCATCATGGGAGCTAGGCGTGGTCTCATTCACCACTATCTCCGAGAATACATGTCCACTATCAACGAACATTGCGCCGGAAGAGAACTGAAACACCTTCAAGTCAACGCTTCTGTTCACAGCTCAACGCCGGCAGAATTCGAGGCCAAATTGATGAACATCTGCGACATAGAGAACGCGCAAACAATGTTGAGGTATCCAAGCATTTCGAAGATTTCCAACCATTCGAATACGACTCAATCTTCGGTGCTGTGATCTCCTGGATCAAGTGGAACAGCCATCAACACATGGTATGTCACAAGTACGCTAAAAGCGATCATTCATCGTTTGATCCGAATGAACAATACGAGAGCCTTGTCTATGATCCTGCTCTCGATGACTCGACCGAACAGATCTGAACGGCAGAAATGGAGGCATAGGTTGGCAATTTTCCACTTGGCGTTGTGATTTTTGCTGTTCTGTCGTTGGTGCTGGGTGGACCACTTCTGCATCGAGTTGCATCAAACCCGA